ATATATTATATATATATATATATATATATACCCCTTTTATTACAATTGTTCATGCCTTAACTTTTTGTTTTGTTCCTTAAAGTTTTATTTTCTTGTCATTTTATGTCATAAAATTGGAGCTTACATATTAGTAGCAGTTGTTTAAATGGAGAGAAAAACTCAATACACAGTATCTTTTGAATGTATCTAGATATTGTAACAGTCCATATATTCAATCTTCAGATAATAACAAGAATGATGCTTTAATAACTATATGTCTCAAATGCACATAATATCCATTGAAACTGTTTCTTTGGGGTAAATATGAAATGTTATTTTCCTCATAGTTTTTTAAAATAGGTACTTGGTACCTAAAAAACTAATACTGTTAAGAAAACATCTGGTTGATAGGTTTAACTATCACACACTACAATACAAGTTCATACATTAATGTCTGTGTTAGATATCCACAGTTTTTAGGAATTCAAAGTATTTTCCTAAAAAAATAGTAAGAAGGTGATTTTTGCTTCTTTTTGCATTAGAATTTACAGTTTCACAATCCTTGAGAGTTTTTGTTGCTTTGTTAGTTGATGAAGTGTTACAGAGTTCTTGAGAATTTTGTCCTTTTATTAGTTTTTAGTAAGTAATAAGGTATTAAAAATAGGGTGCTTTTAAATATTATTTATATTCAGCACTGCGTTAATTAAAATAAAATATTGACAGACAAAGGAAGAAAATGTACAAAAGTCTTGAGAATTCATCTCAAAATAAATTAAGCATAACCACTGAATTGATAATGTTTTTTATTCTACACATCATGTTAGTCATTTTTTGGTAAGCCAAATACAAGATAATCCAAATTACAAAAATACTTAAAGCTTCAAGGCTTGTTATATACAACAATATCAGCACTTGTCAATTGTCTTTGTACAGAATGTTAGAATCTCATTAGTAATAAAATACATGTGTGTGCACTTAATTCTTGGTATGAATGGCAACTTTTTTATGTGAGACATATTGTGACGTTGACACACACACTAATAAGAAACAACTCATAAGTATGGTGACAAATGTACTGTCTGACACTGCATGGAAAATAGTTAACATTGTCTAAAATAATAATTTCTGATGTGGAAGTTAATTTAAGATATTTTTAATTATTGTGTTGTTTGTTCAAGTATATATATATATATATATTGGGTGGTTCAAAAATCACTGCAGTGTGGTTTTCACTAGATACACACAAAAACTAAGATTTATAATCGTTATGCTTGTCAAAGTCAAGGCTGTGATATGACTGAATTTAGCCTGGCCATGTAGTTATGAACTAGTTGAAATTATTGCAGTATTGTTTAGTCTTAAAAATAAATGATTTAAATGTATTTGGATTTAGGTATTTCCATCTCTTTTTATCTTGGCATATTTCATATTTTATTGCAAAGAAAAAGAAAGTAATTATAGTAAAATAAAAAGACCTGAAAAAACTAATAATATTTGTCAATTTTTACATTCAAAACTAATGAAAACTGAAATTTTAAATGGTTTAAATTGTTTCTGATTTTTTATATGTATTATCTTAAACAAATACCTGATTTTATTTATTTATTTTGCTTTGTGATATCTGTATTTTTGACAAGTGTTTTTTAATGTAGGTTTTGACAGTACAACAAGAATTTTGAGAAAAGATAAATCATGCTTATGGATAGACAAGTTATTAATGCTATATATACAGT